CTTCTCCCTGCTCTACTCTTTTATCCCTTTTTTGCTTGTCTTGTAAGTAGATGTAATTGCATCTGTGTCAAATAAACAAATTAATAAATAAGGCATTGGAAATAAATAGAATTTCAATTTCATATATAAATAAAATTTAAAGCTAGCTAGCCACTTTTCATCCTATTTATTATATAAATTTGATGTAAATGCTTCAGTCTGACACAAAAATCTCTTCATTTAAGTGTCTAGTCTTCTTGCGCGTTTGCATTCATTGGGGACAGACACTATCACTACAAAGCTCAAAGCTCAACACATGCTGACGCGCTTTCGTTTTTGACGTTACATTTATTCGTTTCGATTCAAAGCGATTATAGCGGTAGAAAAACTAGAAAATTACAAAAATAAAGTGTCAGTACTAGAAACAAAAAATGGAAAAGCTAAGAAAGAAGAGAAAAGGGTTACTTACATCTGTTTCCTACGGTATACTCGACGACTAATAAAATATTCAAAAAACCTAACTTAACTAGTAAAACTAAACAAAAGAAGGATTAAAGTGAAAAGAAAAAATACTCAAGGGAGAAAATAATAACGTTACTTAGTGAGCTCAAGTTTGTATAAACATTGTTCGTGTATAATTAATGTTTTTTTCAGTTCTGCTGCAACATTTCCCGGCTCCTAAACTTTGCTTTGTAAAGTTTATATCTCTTTTTCTTCTGATGGTAGTAGAAGAACCAACTTGTTAATCGGTCTTCGCAATGTTGAATCTTGAGTTCTTACTCTTGCGGTCCTGACGTACCCTTTTGAATCGATCTCTATATCTTGCACGATGCCCATTGGCCAGTTGTTTCTTGTAACGTTGTCTTCTTTCAGAAGGACTATATCTCCAACTTGTAGGTTTCGTCTCTTCTGAGTCCACTTTGGTCGTTCTTGTAGCGTGGTGAGATATTCTTTCTTCCATCTGCACYAGAATAAGTTTGCCAAGTATTGGATTCTGCGCCAGCGACGTCGAAGGTAGATGTCGTTGTGCTGGAATTCTCCAGGTGGATATCCTACTATGTTTGTTTTCATCGTTAAGAGCTGATTTGGTGTCAAAGGGTTCATGTCATCTGGCTCACTTGATAGCAAGGTTAAAGGTCTTGATTTAATGATAGCTTCAACTTCGCATAACAGGGTGTGAAGACATTCATCGTTCATGCGATCACCATGTTCTTTGAGTAGACCAGAAAGAATCTTTCTTATTGATCTGATCTGTCTTTCCCAGCTTCCGCCCATGTGGCTTGCATGAGGTGGGTTGAACTTCCAATCGGTACCTTGTTGGAGCAGCTTTTCTTGGATCTGTTTGTTGTCGATTTCTTGGATGGCTTGACGCAACTCTTTATCTGCACCAACGAAGTTAGTTCCATTATCGGAATAGATCTCTCTTGCAGGTCCTCTGCGGGCTATGAAGCGTCTTAGAGCTTGGATGCATGAGTCTGTGTCAAGTGAAGAAGCCAATTCAGTGTGTACAGCTCTACAGGTTAAACAGGTGAAGATGGCGCCATAACGTTTGTGATGCTTTCGTCCTTCTTTTAACGTTGAATGGCCCAAAGTAATCTAAACCAACATATGTGAACGGTGGTGCGGGATTAACACGTGCACTTGGAAGGTCTGCCATCTTCTGTTCATTCACTGGTGCTTGGATACGACGACACGTTACACACTTGAATATCAACTGTCGCGTGGCGGAATTGCCACCTATGATCCAGTACTTTTGTCTTAACTCGGATAGTACGTGTGCTCTTCCAGCATGTCCCAATCGTTCATGTACCTGACGGATAATGAGGGTTATTATATGGCTTTTCCTTGGCAGGATAATGGGGTGCTTCACTTCGTCGGGAATGTCGGCGCGATGAAGGCGTCCACCCACACGTAACAAACCTTGGCTGATGAATGGATCGAGTCGTCTGATATTGCTTGACTTTGGTATGCTTGACTTTCCTTCTTTTACCCGGCTCCGTGTGTCAACCTCTCTGTCGCTGTTAACCTCGTGAGAARGTGCATCCATTTCCTTGCCAAAATACTGGAGTTGTACAAACTTTAAGATAGCTCTTTCAGCATCCTCTAGGTCAGCAACGGTAGGTTTCGGGACCTGCTTGATCTCTTCTTCCTTGTTACACTCCGTATTCTTCGCACATCTCCTCCTTAGCAGGGTCTTCAATCGCAGAAACACGAACACTACCCTTTTTAACTTGTACCAGCTTGAGAAGTATGAGAACAACTTGCATATGCTGTTGACTGAATCGTCTATCCTTGTTGCGTGACTGACGGTAGTGTGCTTTACCTCAATATCATCTTCGGGTATGGTTTCACAAGCGATGGGTGGCTGGCTTGGCCATTCCTCTTCATCTTTCCATAAAAAGTCTGGACCATTTAACCAACGTTGTCCGTTGATTAGGGTTGAGGTGTCGAGTCCTCTAGAGGCATCGTCGGCTGGATTCTCAGATGAAGGAACGTATTTCCATTGTCTTGAATCGGTATGAGTTCTGATTTCTTGAATTCGGTTAGCAACAAAGACCTTGAACCTCTTTTGTTCGTTGATGATGTAACGAAGGACTGTAGTGGAATCAGTATGGTAAGTCATGAGAGTTTTTTCCACATCAAGCTCTCTCATCAACAGTTGTCCAATACGAACGGAAATAGTCGCTGCGGTAAGTTCTAGTCTTGGTACCGTTGTAACTTTGATGGGCGCAAGGCACATGAACGCGCAAATCCTAGCTATTTTAAATAACTCGTGCATCAAACTTCAAGATTTTATTTCAATTCACTTTCAATACTGAAACTACATGTAAACTTTTAGTTATCCAATATCTTGCAACTCGCTACAGGGATTGATTTACAGTTCTAATTTGTAATAATATAATTGTAACATTTCACTAATAAAACTGGAACGCAAATGTACTATCCTTGTATGAAGGGAAAATCAGGTTTACTTGTTATTTCCTTCGTCTGCAGGGTACAGGGAATCATTGGTCAGCAATGAAGCTGCTGCTGCTAAAAGACTCAAAGAATCTTCAGATGAATCTTTATTATCTGCATTGCTGGGCGTGCTAATCGTACTAGTAGCAGTGTGCGAATAATGAATTGGCGGTGTTGCGGCGCGCATAAAAGATGAATGATAAGAACTTTCTCTCTCGCTTTCASGCATTGCTAAGTTTATTTGGTAGTCCTCCTCTTCTGGTGTTTGAGGTACAGGAATGGCATAATCCACAGGTGGGGCTGAAGGACATATAGGGCCAGTTCCCGGAAAAGTCACTCCTTTCTTGGCCCATAAATCTTTAACCATACTTGATCTGTTAGTAGRACTATTAGATACACATRACCCGAGCTTCTCTTGCTTATCATGCTGCTGAATTAGTTCTTGAAGATTCTCGTTTGGCCCTGGAACAACACCATTGCAAATCTTCTCGATCTTTTTGGAATCTGTGTTGATCGCCATCCAGTTCATTATTTCTCGGCCCTTGACATATGAAATGTACTTATCCTTGTTGCTGTTAATTAACTGTGTAAGTATYCGCTGGGAAAATGTACGCTTGCTGGACTGAAGGCCTTCCTGTAAGCTTTCTAGTTCACTTTTAGATCTTTTGAGTTTTGACTTGAGCAATTGAAGTTCCGTATTCAAGTCCCTAATTTGTCGTTTTTCTTCTGGATTGCGTTTCAAATCGCCACACAGACGCGACGAAGGACAAGCTTCGCTAACGCAATTTGCGYGTGTATGACCAGCTCTGAGGTGACATTTCGTACAAGCGGGTCTCGTATTATCTAATGGCTTGAATGAGAAGGATTCTTCAAGTGCTGAAATTTCCTGATGTTTCGCTGCAATTCCATCTTCTTGTTTTTTGATGTTTTCTTTCTTGGAACGAATAAAATTTTCAACAGGAGATCTATAAAGCTCGCTTTGTAAATTACTTTTGGAAGTAGTGGTATTAGCAAGCTGTCGTTTCGCTAATTTCTTCGGCTCAGGCAGATTTTGGTTTTCTTCGTCTTTTCTCTTAAAGGGCGCGGGTGAATGCCAGACTTCTGCTTGTGGATTAATTCTCTTCCAGTTTGCCCCATGAACGTCCTGGGCACACCTGAAGAGTTCGCTCATAAGGTTTTCTTCGAAGTTGACATAACAGCCCTCGTCATCGAGATATCTAATCCGAATCTGGTCGCAACTTATGTGATTGAATGATTTGGTAACTTCTTTAACTCTGGATAACAAGTCTAAGTAAGTTAAACCGGCAGGCGAGTAAAAAATGTCTCACATTTTTGAAAGTTATCCCCATAGTAAACTTTTATCTGATAGCACTCCATACTGAAATCTAGCGGGAAACTAATGTCACGTGACCACTTGGAGCGCTCCAAATGGTCACATGGGTTAACCGAAATTCAAAATGCGATCGATCGTTTTTTTGGCGGTGCTAACAGTTGAGTGATTTCGGTAGTAATAAGCACAATTGTTTTTCATGTGACGACACACAAATAGGTAAAGTGCAAGTTTACTCGAGTGACATCGTTTTCACATATTAAATCATGATGTTGAAGTGTTTCATGAAAATAACAAACTATAACATCAAAACTCAGTGACATACTGTTTAGTCGGAACATTTCATCAATTAGACAGAGTGATGTTTTTGACACCAATACCACTCCATAGTATAAATAGCCTCGTWTCTGTGGCATTCTTCAAGTTGTCCCAGGATTTTCCTGTCGCTCCAGGCATGTATCAGGGSTATGTATCAAGTCTCCATCTCACTCCAACTGTCACCTCTTAGACTGGTAGTTCCGAGTAAACCTACAGACCTTTCAGGGCAAATTAAACAAACTTTTAAAAAAATAAGGATATATATGATTCAAAGATTGAATTGCAAATAATTATTTTAAGTATAACTAATTACCTGCTTGAATGTTGTCCAATAAAATCAGATGCTTTTTTGTTTTTAGTCTGTTGGTCGACCTGTAACACCCGCAACGAGCAAGAACGGTTGTCGTAAAATTAATTTTTTGGCGCCAAGAGGATGCGGGCGGGCGCACTGTTCTCGCCCCAGGAATGCTCGGTTAAATTCATCGTTCTTGGATCGCTTTGTACGTTCACACATGAACTTTCCAGCTTAGAACGATCTCGGATTGAGCCGAGACCACATCATGAAGTGGACCACGTTCGATCGATCTCAGTTCGCACGCGCGCGTTCAAACTCGGTTCGCTTTTCACTTGGATCGATCTCAAAGCGATCTAACTCACTAGTGTGAAAGGGGCCTTAGATTCACTGTTTTCTCTAGAATATGTGAATAAGTACTTTCAGAAAATTAATACTGATACCGATTATATTGCTCCTAATTTTGTTAATGCTCCGGAAGGTGTAAAGGTTCCACAGATAGATCCTGATACCACCTTTAAATATCTTTCAACTTTGAAGAAAACTTCATGTGGTCCTGATGGCCTTTCATATTTGTTTTTCAAGGAATATCCTTTACAATTAGCACCCGGTCATTACACATATCTTTAATTTATCTATTAAGTGTCAGATCGTAAGTATGTGGAGGATGGCAAATATCACTCCTTGCCTAAAGAATCTCCTCTCACAAGTATGGATTAGTAAGTGTTCAAAGTCCGAGTCTGATTCAGAGTCTTCTATCCCAACCGTGTTGACTCTCTTTGTGTTTGCATACATTTGATCCTCTCCAGTGATTTTTTACCGCACGCGCTGCAGCGTTTTCCCCACACAGGGCACAACTCCTTGCGGAATGCATGCACGATGAGGCAGAACTTGCATTTGGCTCCATATTGTGGTGCTCTTGGCTTGCGCTGGGGYTTAGGATTGCTTGTCCTCCCCTTTGCATTGTCTACCTTACACACAGACACAAAGTTCTCGCTTATTAGCTGATTCGGTTGAATGACAAATATCAATGCAACGTGTTAAGTCTAATTTTCGTTCTTGCAGAAGGCCCTTTCGAGCGTTAAAGGTGTATTAAAGAGACATTCAACTTTACATGGATATAAGTTGTAAGTATTAAAGGTGATTAAACTTTCATTCCCTTTAATAATCTTTAATTGTTTATTAAAGATGTAGTTAAAGGTGTATTAAAGAGACATGTACCTTAACAGGGACATAAGCTGTAAGTATTAAAAGGTGATTAAACTTTCATTCCCTTTAATGATCTTTAATTGTTTATTAGAGATATTATCAAAGATAAGGTGTTTATCTATAGGCAACCCAAGCTCTTTTTTTAGAAGGGATAAAAATACAGGCAGGTACAAAGTATCGATAAGAAATCGAATGTCGTATCTTGTAATTGTGTGAAAATGTTTCAATTTTTAACATGCCTTGTGTATTGATTTGGGTGTTATAAACATTTTTCATTGAATTACTTTTGTTATCTACGGCTTCTAACCTATTAAACTATGAAAAATCACTGATCCGGCACTGAATAATTTAACCAAATATTAGCTATGCCATCAAACGTTTTATTCAGGGATTCGCTCTATTAAACGAATAATAGTTTAGCAATGTCTCTAAATGATTGAGTGATATAGTGTTATGAAGCCAAAGAATAGAGTTTCTTTATCTACTAATGTAATGTGCGATTAAGGTGGCTGCCTACTTTTGAGCGTTCGAATTGAGCCCACGATGAGCGCGCACTCAAAAACCGCTGAAAAATCTACAAGATTTTATTGAAGAACCATACGCGTTTTGAGCTTCAACAGGGCAAAACCCTCAAATTTTCGACATTTTAGAAAAAGTTTAAATCAGTAACACATGAAAAAAAATATTTTTGTAGGGATTTTTGTTCGACTTTATGAGATTTTTAAGAGCATATTTTTGTCGAAAATATCCATGTGTTGTAGAATGATTGACTAGCCTTCATTCGTGCAATCATAGAGTCTGCAAATGACTATTATCTTATGAATCTTAATTTTTTCTAATCACTTCCGTTGGCGCATYTTTTACTCCGAAAGCTCGTGCGTAGGCTCCCATTAAATGCTGATTATCTCGAAAACGAGCTAGGGACACCCTATTTTTCTTTCCAGATTTGGAATCAGCATTAAATTTCAATTCGGAAATAAAAGTTTAAAAAAAAGTTTAAATCAATTTCCAAAGGTAGGCAGTCACCTTAATCTACTTAAATTCAGTAAATCATCACGTCACGTCAATAATGACACGTCAATAATGACAGATCACGGAATCACGAAATAAACCGATACTAAATAAAGGAGGATTCATTCGATTCACATTGTTGTATACATTAAGCTAGTTGGTCGTTCAGTATYCAAACATGAGCTCAGTTCATTTGAATCCCACTCAGGGTTATTTATTTTGTACTCATTGTAATAAAAAAGTATCGGAATCAACGCACAGGAGACATTGAACATTTTGCGTCGTGGATCTAATGTGAGAGATGTGCCAGATGTACATGCTGAATCGTCATCTGAATCACAGAACGAGACATCAAGTAACTTCCAAGGTATGTATTATATATTGCGCTTGTGGTTTTATTAAGATATTCATCTCAAGTCCTTAACACTCGTTCTTTTTTGGAATCGGCCATGATCATACAAAGGTTTATAAATTCCCTCATGAAACGATATCATGACATGCATCCAATGTATAGCCACCTACATTATGATGCAAATTGGTTCGTGCAAATTTTGTTTTAAGTAGGACATGTGTGCTTGAAAGCGAATTGATAATGTACCCCGCATGGTACTTCAATGTTCAT